TGTCCGCTTTTCACTGCGTGGGAAGAAAACTTCTTTTTACAGTGAAAAAACCCCTAAACTTCCAAGAAAGCACCCAGTACGCTACCACGTAATGGGAAATTCACAGAGAAACTCGCGGATTCTTCCACTGACCGCTGCGGCACACCTGCACCAGGGCAAACATCCGCCTGCCTTACAGGTGAAAATAGAGCAACAGGACCGCTAGTCTTTGATTTTATTTATTTTCTGCTGTGATTCACTTGCATCTATTTGAAAGACTGACTGTAAACACAAAAAATATTTTATTTTTATGTGCTGGAATGTGCAGAAAATAGGTTTAAATGTTAAAACAAATTTTTTCCAGTCAGAGAATGTTGCATATAATTAAATTTTTACTTGATGCATAAAGTTAAAAGATTAAAATTAATAAAATAAGTTTTAAAAAGAGACTTTTCCATTTGATTACATTTTGTATGATGATTATGTAGAAAAAGTAGAATTGGGCTGAAAGATCTATCACTTTATCACCTATTCAGGTTTTGAAAATAAGTAACGAGTAAAGTAACGGGATTACTTTTGGGGGAAGTAATCAGTAATTAGTTACTGATTACTTTTTCAAGTAACTTGACCAACACTGTCAGTAAACATAGTAAAAACATTGTTACTGCCTTGAAAACTCCAAGGATAGGAAATTTAATTCCAGATAGCGAAAATAGGTCAAGATCCAAATATTTTAATAACAAACAATAAAATATTATGTTGCGTAGATAAATATTTTTTGTTTAATTCATCTTTTAACTTTTGAATTGGTTTTTTTTGAGTTAGTTTTATTCAAGTAAAACATAATTCAGTTTTGATCATAATTTAGACATTTAAATTGTTTTAGTCTAGTTTAAGTTAACTAAATATCATAAAACAAAAATAGACGAAATCTAAAGTTGATTTAATTGACTAAACAATAAAGTGTAAAGGTTTGTTGGGTTTTTACTGGAGAGTGTTGTTCCACATGGTTTGCAAAGCATCTTATTTTCATTGACATTATATCTGAAATGTCTCTGTGCATGTACTCTTCTCTGCCTCCTAAATGTTGAGATTTCGTCACATTTTCATTAGAAATTGGAGGCATGGGAGTTGGCTAAACCCACTCTCCGAACCTGTTTACCAGGTGCAGATTAAATGTGCACATCTAACGTCACTGCACAAGAAGATTACTTCTGATTGGATCACTTACAAACTTGTCCAGCCTTTCTAAACAAATAACATTGTTCTGATTGGATTGGAGAGCATTCACACTGTGTGCATAAATGCTTAACAGCTCTTTCATGTGGTGAACAAAATATGGGTTTGATCACTGCGTGCTGTAATGTGATCATATACCTCCATCTTGACAGTGTAAAACTTTAGGTTCTGCAGCTGTTGGAATAAATATAAAAAAAATTTATATCTATTTAATCAAATACCAAAATGTATATTTCTAAATATAATCATAGTAGTCCTAACCAACTGGTATAGTAGTGGTGGACAAGCAGAGGACAATGGCCATAGTAGTAAAGGTAGATAATACCAAGTGATAGCAACATCAGGATGAAGGAGAACAAGAAGCTTTGAGAAGCTGAAACATTGGTCTCAGTGGTAATGGAAGCACTCTGTGCAGTGACCCTCAAGCTAGGCGAGTGGCTCCAGCAGATCCCCGGAACAACATCCAAGATCTCTGTCCAGAACAATGCAGTCAAACATTGTTTGAACAGCGTATTTTGGCCATATCATAATTTTTATGCATATTTTCATACTTTGAGCTGTATAAACTTGAGTGCTTATTGGACTTAAGCATATCAGGTGATGTGTATTTGCGTAATGAGTGAAGGCGTGGTCTAAGGAGGTCACCACTTTGTAGAAATGTGTGCATAATTTTTAGGCAGCTTCTCTTCCTCAGGCAAAATGGGCCAAAAGAGAGATTTAAAAGACTCTTAAAACTCAAAAAATGTGTACGGTCTTTCAGAGGGATGCAGCACTTTTGAAATTGCTCAAATATTGGGGCGTGACCACAGGACCATCAAACGTTTTGTTGCAATTAGCAAACAGCATCGGAATAAATGTACCGAGGCAAAAACACACAAATTAACTGCCAAAGATTTTAATTTTTTTTTTTTTTTTTAGAAGGCACTTTCTTCAAGCAGTGGTACGGGAAAAATCTGCATCTTTCAAGAAGACCATGAATTTTATGCAGGACAATCGCATGCATCGAAGTATTCCACTGGATGGCTAGCCTTAAGGATGAAAAAATAATGACATGGCCCCCTTCCTCACCGGACCTAAAGCCTATTGAGAGCCTGTGCCCTGCTTAAACGGGAGATTTACAGGATAGGAAAACAATACACCTCTCTGAACAGTGTCTGGGATGCTGTGGTTGCTGCTGCACAAGCGGTTGGTCATCAACAGATTAAGACGCTGACAGACTCCATGAATTGAAGGGTTATGACAGTTATTGAAAAGAAGGGTGGTTATATTGGTCACTTATTTATTTATTTATTTATTTTTTGGACACGGCAGAAATGTTTATATGTAAATTTCGAGTTGTTTTATTATTTTCATCTGTTTAAAGTGAAAATAATCTTTTATCAGATGCATTTCTTCTATTATATTTGTGCCTTCAGACTTCCCGCAACAACATGTCTGTAAGCAAGAGGAGGATCTGGATGACCAGCAGGTTTTTAACCAGGGGGGCAATTTGAGTCTTGACCACGAGGACCCAGAGCTTCCACAAATTAAAGAGGAACCAGAGGAACTCTGCACTAGTCAGGTGCTTGTGCTGAAGGTCGAGACTGATACCTTTATGGTGACTTCTACTTATGAGGAACCTGAACCAAACAGTGACCAGCTTCTTTCTTACAACTCTCCTGAACCAGAAAGTCGAGATGAGGATGAAAGTGAGCATGTAGACTCAGGATCAAATAGAAATGCAAAGCCTGAGAAGAGAGGACATCACAGAAACAGTAACACAGCAGACAGCTGTCCTGTGTCAGAGAGTGAAACGTCTTTAAAATGTGACACTTGTGGAAAAACCTTTGAATATAAATACAAACTGACAAAACACCAGAGAGTCCACACAGGTGAGAAGCCACATTCTTGTAGCACTTGTGGAAAAATTTTTAGTTACCTGTCTGCGTTAAAAACTCACATGAGAAGTCACACAGGTGAGAAGCCATATTCTTGTAGCATATGTGGAAAAATATTTAGTTACCTGTCTGCATTAAAAACTCACATGAGAAGTCACACAGGTGAGAAACCACATTGTTGTAGCACATGCGGGAAAAGGTTCAGTGATCTGATGAACTTGAAATCTCATATAAGAGTCCATACTGGTGAGAAGCCATATTCCTGTAGCACCTGTGGAAAAAGATACAGTGATAGGACGAACTTGAAAACTCACATGAGAATTCACACAGGTGAGAAGCCATATTCCTGTAACCTCTGTGGTAAAAGATACAGCGATAGGACAAACTTGAAAACTCACATGAGAACGCACACAGGTGAAAAGCCATATTTCTGTAGCGCCTGTGCGAAAAGATTCACTTATAGGATACAGTTGAGAAGACACATGAAAATCCATGTTGGTTAAAAGCTTCCTACTTAGATAATGTTTGAAAGCTGTTAGGTGGAACAGTTTAATAGTGGAGCACATGTCCATGAGGAACCAAATCACTTCAAAGCCTGAAGGAAGAGCTCATACCATTTTCATCCATTCATCCCTTTTATGGCACTTTTCCAGGGCCAAATGTTAGGGCACGCAGTCTAGGCAGAGAATTATAGACATCACTCATCCCGACAACCTGCTTTAGCTCATTTGGGGGACACCAAGGCATTAGGTTCTAGGTTAGCCATAATATATTATTTCTGTAGTGTGGTCCGTGTCTGCCCTCGGGCCCCTTTATGTTGGAACACCTCACCTAGGAAAAGCTCAGGAGGCATCCTATTCAGATGTCTGAGCCACCTCAATTGGCTGCATGCCACATTATTTTTAAAATTTAAGTTGTGTACATAGAACAAGATACAAAGCCTTAAAATGTGTTAAAAACACAACAGCCTTGATAAACATGGAGTAGTTAGGATCTAAAAGCAGGGTTCATCACGTCATCACTTAAAGACCAGATGACAACAAGCCAGATACCCCATGCTCCTATGAGGATAAAGAGCTGGACCTGAACCTGTGGTTCGATTAACACAGAGTCATTTCTCTTGTACCCTGGCATAGATCTTTCCAGGAGTCAGAATAATGTGTTGCCTCTGTAATTGGAGCACATCTTCCAGTCCCCCCTTCTTAGGCTACCACTCCAGTCAGAGTTGTAGCCTTAGATTGAAAAAGCAGAGAGGTGTGTCAGCCAAGAAAGTGCCACAACATTCAGAGTGTTGAGAAACTCATGGTGAATCTCATCCACCCCAGCAGCCCTGCCACCAAGGAGTTGTTTAACTACCTCAATGACCTCAGCCCCAGTAACGGGCAAGTCATCCCCCTAGTCTCCAGACTCTACTTCATGTACAGAAAGCATGTCAGTGGGATTCAGAAAATCCTTCAGCTTTTCTATTTCTTGTTTCCTCAGTTCAAGCCAGCAGCACCCCACCCATACTATACAACATATGAGTACAGCACCACTTTGCCCTCCTGAGTCACTTGGTAGTTTGCCAGAATCCCTTTGAGGCAGATCAAAAGTCTTGTTTCATGGATTAACCAGACTCCTGCACCAGAGATTTTTGTTTCAGCTTCTTCCAGAGCCACACTCTGCTTGGCCCAGTGGAATCTGTTTCCTTTGGAATCCCACAGGATAACCACAGGAGCTCTTTCAGTTTGACAACTCCCTTCACCTTGGTTATTCACCATCTGTTCAGGGATTACCCCATAACAGGCAACTCCCAGCCATAGCTCCGTGCAGGTGCCTCAACAGTGAAGGTGCAGAACATGGTCCACTCAGACTCAATGTACCCAGGCTTCCTCAGAAAACTGCTACTTGATCCATCTCACCACCAGGTGGTGATCAGTTGGCAGCTCTGTTCCTCTATTCACTCATGTGTCCAAGACCACCAATAAAACATTGACAAAATCTATCCTTGACCTTTGACCTGGGGTGTCCTAGTACCACATGCACTTGTGCGAATAACTTATGCTCAGACATGGTGGTTGGCATAAAAGTCCAGTGACAAAACATCACAAAAAATCACACCCCTCTAGTGTGCAATATCATGTAGACATGAACATTAAAGTCTAAAAATAGAAAAATAAAGTGTCCAGATGTGTCACTTTCCAGCACCCCACCTACTGACTTTAATAAAGCTGGATATTCTGAACTGTCATTCACCTATAATCAGGACCAGGACCTGTTCCCTGACCCAAAGGTGCAGGGGAAAAGACACACTCGTCCACTGGGAAAACCCTATTGTACAGACAGTGAACTTGGTGAGATATTAGTATACCCATCCCTGCCTGTTGCCTTTCTGTGTATGGGGAATCTAGAGTTTGGAAGAGTGGAACATCTCCAGAGCCTGAGCCATGCATTCAGGTGAACCTTACTATGTCTAGCCGGTCCCTCTCAATCTCATGCACTAGCTCAGATTTATGTCCTACCAGAGAGGTGACATTCTATTTGTCAACTTCAGTTTTCCTACAATGAGCCAGGGTTACAACTCCTGGAGCCTCTGCCCTTCACTGCGACCCAAAGTGCATTGCACCCGACCTCTACAGTGCTTTCTGCAGGTGCGGAGTCTGCAAGAGCCCCATGGGTTAAGGTGTGCCCACCAGGTGTTCTCTCTTGAGCCTTCTCCCTAGGCCTGGCACAGAGACAGGCACCAGTATCCATGTCCTGGGCAGGGTGAACTGGTCCCTTGTTTTTCCTTGCTTCAAAGGGGTCACCTAAATCGCTCATCACTGGCCCCTCACACAGGAACAATTTGCCTGGGAGACCCTACCAGGGTCAAGCCTCTGACATCATAGCCACTGTGATCACTGGGACAAACAAGCCCGGCTAATTTTACATATGTCTGTATTTGTACTTTTGTTATTCTTTTAAGTTGTAGAGGTGACACTTAAAACATGTAAAACAGCTTAAAACAGCTGTAGATTGAAGTTCTTAATCGTTTTCACTAAACTAAGCTTTGTTGTACAAAATAAAGCATGAATTTTATTTGGCTTGTTGCTTTTGTTTAATAGCCTAGATTTCTCTGTCATTCAATAAAGAGGTTTTACTACACAGAAGTAAAAGCTGTAAATTGACACACACACAAGACAAATAATATTGAGTCATTGTGATGTAGGCTTAAATTTCAATATGCACTTAAAAGTTATGTTTATAAAGTTTACATAAAACCTTAAATAAATCTTTTTGAGACCAACTTTTTCTGAACTGTGATCTCTATGACAGGTGTGTCCAAATGTTTTGCAAAGAAGGTCAGATTTGGTGAGGTGAAAATGTGTGGGGGCCCACCATTCAGCCTTCTTTCATTCTTTGAACCATTAGGATTAAATGCAAATTACGTATTGAAATGTTTTTTTAATTTGAAAATGGCATAGTTATCATGTCTTCACATAAACACAAATAAATTCAAACAAGTTTTTATCCACATACAATAAA